CAGGCACTTCACCAATCAACTCTCAATTTTCAAATCCAGATATAACGCTCTCTTTAGAGTTAGATCTTCCTATTGCTTTATGCAAAGGTAAGAGGCATTGCATTTCTCATCCTATTTCTAATTTTATTTCTTATTCTCGTCTCTCTATGTCATATTCTTCTTTTGTTGCTTCCCTTGATTCTATCTCCATTTCTAAGTCTATTACCCATGCTCTTAATCATTCTTGTTGGAGATTAGCTATACAAGAAGAGATGTCTGCTTTGGAGAAAAATGGTACTTGGGATCTTGTCCCTCTTCCTTCTGGTAAGCCGGTTGTTGGTTGTACATGGGTGTATACTATAAAAGTGCAACCTAATGGTTCTATTGATAGATTGAAGGCTCGTTTTGTAGCTAAGGGATTTACTCAGGTGTATGGAATTGACTACTTAGAAACATTTTCTCCTGTTGCAAAGATTACCTCTGTTCATCTTCTTATCTTTTTGGCAGCAACTTATAATTGGCCATTGCATTAGTTGGATGTGAAAAATGCATTTCTTAATGGAGATTTGAAAGAAGAGGTATATATGGAACAACCTCCTGGATTTGTTGTTCAGGGGGAGAATTCGCGGTTGGTTTGTCGTTTGAAAAAATCCTTCTATGGATTGAAACAGTTTTCGAGGACTTGGTTTGATCGGTTTAGTAGTGTTGTCATGGAGTTCGGTCTGACAAGATGTGGAGTAAATCACTCTGTATTTTATTGGCACTCTAATGTTGGTAAAATTTTATTAGTTGTTTATGTGGATGATGTTGTGATTACAAGTGATGATGTTGTGGGGATCCAAAAACTTAAATCCAATATGTAGGCAAACTTTCAGACAAAGGATTTAAATCATCTACAGTATTTTCTAGATATTGAGGTAGATCGATCTAAATATGAAATTTATTTATGTCAAAGAAAATATGTACTCAATATGCTGAGTGAAGTTGGGATGTTAGGTTGCCGACCTGTGGATACTCCAATGGATCCTAATGTGAAATTAGTAGGAGATCAAGGTGCATTACTAGATGATTCTAGACAATAGCGAAGACTTGGGGTAAACTAAATTATCTCACTGTAACGAGACCTGACATTTCATTTGCAGTAAGTGTTGCCAGTCAATTTCTTGATACCCCTCGTACTAGTCATTGGAATGCTGTTATACGGATTTTCAAGTATCTTAAGAGTGCTCCTGAAAAAGGTTTGCTGTATCAAAATCATGGATACACTGATATTGATGGATATAGTGATGCAGATTGGGCTGGTTCTGCCTCAGATCGAAGATCAATCACAGGATATTGTGTGTTCGTTGATGGTAATTTAGTGTCATGGAAGAATAAAAAACAAACAGTTGTCTCCAAATCAAGTACAGAATCGGAATACCGTCTATGGCTCACACTGTATGTGAGTTGGTTTGGTTGAAAAGCATGTTACTTGAAATTGGGTTTGAGCATAAACAGCCTATGAATTTAGTGTATGATAATTAGGCGGCTGTTCATATTGCTTCTAATCCAGTGTTTCATGAAAGAACAAAACATATTGAAGTTGATTGTCATTTCATTTGAGAAAAATTGCTTGACGGAATTATTAAGACAGCTCATGTACTGTCTGTAGATCAATTGGCTGATTTGTTTACTAAGAGTTTAGGGGGCTCTAGGGTGAGATATATTTGTAACAAATTGGTGCTTATGATATATATGCTCCAACTTGAGGGGGAGTGTTAAGAGAATATAAGTATTCTTGTAGATAATAAATTAGTAAGGGTATTTTTGTAAATAGTTTGTTAGGTTTGTACTCTATAAATATTAGTTAGTCACTCATAATATGGAGACAAGATGTTTTTCCTCTCAAAATACTTGTTGTCAAGTTCTTCTTCTAATCCACTCAAATAGCTTGAAACAAAATAACTTTCACTCAAACCAGAATTTTTGAGCAGCATTATGTCCCTCAACTCCGCAAATTTCTCCTGATAGGCCATTACTGAGGAAGTTTGCCGCAGTTTGTTAAACTCCTCTACCCCATCTTCATCACCAAGGGTTCCAAATCTGCGATTCACACCTTCTTTGAATTCCTCCCATGCTAACATCCTTTTATCTCTTTTGAAGCTTTGAAACCAAATATTGGCTCTCCCTTCTAAATGCATTTCTGCAATCAAAATCTTCTGCGAATCCGAGATGCCATACAGATGGAAGAAAGTCTCACATTTCTGGATCCGGTCTCGCACTTGCTCTCCTGAGAACTTAGGAAACTCCAGCTTGGGTACTCCAGGAATAAAGGCATTTCTCTCTCCTCTATCTTGATTCATCTGCCCTTGCCTGGAGTTGCGTTGCAAAGATCTCGGGGGAGTGGCCAGAATTCCTCTTTCCTGCTGAGAATTCCTGTTGTTTCCTCCAATCTGTGCAGCAATGCTGGCTATGAGAGCCTTTAATTCTGTAGAATTAGCCACCATCTTTCTCTTCCATGGATTTCAGAGTCTCGCTGGTAGAGTCCATGAAAGTTTGCAATCTGGCCTCCTGCTTCTTGACCTGCTCTTCAATCGTTTTGAGACGTGTTCCTTCTGCCATGGCTGTGAATCAAGCTTCCTAATCCAAGGATCGGAAGCTCTGATACTACTGTAACGAGTGCTGCAATTGCAGCAGAATGAGAGAGAGATAAGAAAGAGAGAAACTAGACTTGAGGAAGAAGAAAGAGAGATATTATTCAAATGAACTTTCCATGCCTGCCCCATCCCGCCTCTGCATTCTTATACAGCTCAAAAATAACAGAATAACTACCTGATTGCTGACTCAGCATAACAGCCTAACGAACAGGGAAGATTCCCTCTAACTACCTGAAGGAAATACATTTCGCATTTGTCAAAAATATCTTCTGATCTAGTGTCATTACAGTTTATGGGTCTTTATAAACGTCTTCTCAAAACATTCTAAATTATCATAACAAGAGGTGAGCTCCATGGAGCATGGAAAAGAATTTTGGAACTAGGGTCGGACGGGAAGGATGGTGGCTGGGGAAGGCTGGGGAAGGAGCAGCATTAAAGGAGAAGCATAATGAAATTGGTAATTTGGGATGGGGAATGAAAATGGGGAGCTACCAGGACACTGCTGGACCATAGGATGATGAAGAAGGAAGAAAGTTGATGGGTCAGAGGAAAAGAGGATGAAGGGAGTTGCTGGGGTCGGTGATGTGAAGGGTTGGTGTGGAAAGGAGATAGATACATGAACAGTGGACAATAAGAAAAGGAAATTGGCTAAAAAGTTGTTTTTAATGTTGGGTTGATCAGCGCTTTTGCACTAAACCAACTGATTAGGATGTTTTCCTTCCATGTACCATTTTGTACAAAGCACATAGGGGTAAACAACAGAATTTTGAATTAAGTTAAGTGATGCCTTATCATGTGAGTATCATGATAATTACTCAACTTGAAAAATTGTTTTATAGTAGAAAAATAAAGTGGGAAATATATGTAAAAGTCGAAGTGCTATTACTTGGGATGGCCATGCTAACTCATTTGAATTTTGCTCAAAGTTGAAATGGGTAGTACTTGGGAAACTAGGTTTCTTTTGGTGTAATCCTTGTGTTAATTTAAATTATGTAAAAGAAGTGGACAGTATTTTGGTTCTTGCACAAAGCAAAATGTGGATAAGGAGTTTGATCTGTATTTCAACATAAGAAGAGCTTTAAGAAAGAGGTCTAGCGAAATTCATATGGGTCTTTTTGGAGGGACATTGAGGCAGTGTAAGATTCTGGTGCATGGTTTGTACATAACCTGATGAGGCTTTTATGCTGTGATAGCTGATTTATCAGTCATTCCAGTCCAGGATTGCTCTGATAAATAACTTGTAGCCATTTTTGGGTAAGAAGTTGTGCAGAGATTATGCATTGTGTAATAATCAAACAGCGGTTGGGTTGCATCTATCTAGTTGTGTACTTGAACTAGCATATTGAAGTTTTGTGAAAGAGAAGCTGCTCAAAAGCGATTAGGACCTCCCATATGAGGTCCATTGGTCAATTATTAGCTGTTTTATTTTTGCCAAAGGTTAGGGATTCATGGTTTCACAAATTTGGAGACTGGTGAATGAATTCCAACCTGAGGGGTAGAATTAAGACAGAAAATTAGGGTATTATTATATCTACTATATCTGTACTACTACTACTATAAATTCTGCTACGTCAACACCAATTGTGTAAATTGCAAGTTTTTTGACATGCTTTCAGCTAGTTAAACCAGAATTTCATAATTTTGGTTCCTGACCCATGTCAATTTGTTGTTTTCTTGCAGAGAGGAAATACACTAAATGGTCACTCAGGGTGATTAGCGTACATGGAGAAAAGGCCCATTGTCATTCATTAAATCGTTGAGGTTTTGTCCAATTTTCTATTGTTAAAAACTGTATTTCCAATTGCACCATTGAGTCTGCTATTGTTTATTGTATGCATCAAATGCTTCCCCAGTTTTTTCTTCTTACCGAAACAAGGAGCCATGGTTATTATTGAAACAAATTTGTCCTTTTGTCATATCCAGATATCATTCCCTGACAGGCAGAACTAAAAGTAGCTGTACTCCAGAAACAACCATTTGTACTGAAAAGGTATATTATTGCAATGACTTGTATTGAATTGTCATGGCATCATACTGTAAGCTTCTTCTCATGTTCTAAATGCTGCCATGATGTCCTAGGATGTAATCTCCGGCCTACAAACATGGGCATTTGCTACGTTGAATTTGTTGAAGTTTCTGTAACTAAAATTTGTGTCAGTCATATAAATGATTTTACGTTAGATTGGCTATGTATATTAATCATCTATAGGGTACAATGTTTTTCGTGATTTATTGATTATTCTTTACTTTGTCTTCTCTAACCAAAAAAGCCTTGTTGCTGTCTCTTTTATCTCTTTTTTTTTTTCACTTGCTTTTTGCTGGACTTGTTGCTGTAATTGACACTGCAGGGAAATGCTTTTAAGACCACTTGACATACTGTTGAAGATCAACCTCAGTGATGGCTGGTGTCAGTTTTGTCAACATTGATTTCCCGGTGAATTTCGAGGTGAAAACTGTGATGTTTTTACCATTGTCTCTCTTTCAGAAATATAGTTTTGTCTCGAGTGTTAATCTTAGCTGGCTGAAATCATCAAGGTATTAGCATGCAACTATGGTACATTTGACTTGTATTGTCTGGTTGGACTTCTTAAAAATATAAGCGATCACTGTGATTACCAGGCTTTCATTTGACGATGTATTATTAGATTTCATACCAGATGATGAGCTTTCTGAGTCTGGTGGCTACAATTGGATAATCAAAGCACAAAAAGTTATTCTATTTGAATCATGAGTATGACATAATGCACATTATTCACATCATTGTTACCTTTGGGGTTTCCTTTCCACTTGTTTGAGGAATGCTTTCATCATGCCATAGGAGTCCTCTGGTTGTGTCAATTTAGACAAAGATAAGGTGATTCAGAAGCTTAAAGATGTAACAGTCCAAGATCAATGTTGTGGTAAGTTTCGGTGATTGAGAGGAAGAACGTTCCAGGCCAGAAAAAGGAACTGTCCACCTATGCTGTGGTAACGAACATAGTTAAATATGGAGCCATCGCACCGATTGCAAAATTGTCTGTAGTCAATACAGTTGCCAAGAGATCAAAAGAAAAAGTTGATATCAGGAGTGATGACTGTTTGATGGCGAGCTGTGAAGGTGAAGGGACCATGAAGAAGTTGAGAGTTCAATAACTCTGCTGTTAGGATTTATATTTAGAACTGTCTAGTGTCTACAAGGATGGATGGTGGACTCTATGGATGTCTGGGAGTCTGCATGGTGGATGCAACATGGATGGACTCAAATGTGATGGTAGAGTTCAAGTGCATCTAGGGTGCTGAAAGAAGGTCTCTTTAAATGTGAATATCTAGCTAGAGGTTTGTCATTCTTGGAATCTTTGAAATATGTTTTCCTTTTACAAATTTTGAGATTTTAGAATCTCATGAAGCTCACTAAAACTCTTTGCATTATGTTTGTTCAGCATCCTGAAGTTAGTCGGATTATATGTTGATGCCGTTTCAACATTTATCGACTTAGTCTTATATAACCATTCTATAGAGATGTATCATAAGATAATTTTGTTGGACCCTGAAAGTTCTAGTGTTATGTTATTCATTTTCGTTGCTTGTGTCATTGGAACATGATTTAGTTTGGTCTTCGTTACTTGATAGATTATTACTACTATAATCGTTGTTTACTTCTATAAGGTTCCACAGAAATCTGTTTTACCTGTTTAGTGTGACTTTCCAGTAAGTATTGTGAGCACTGAATATTGAACTTACCATGATGGAGAGCGAGAATTAAGCTGTCTAGGATGTAGAAGAACTTGCCAACTTTTAAATGGATGCTATATCATAAAAGGTTAAAACTGTAGTTTACCAGCAGTCCAACTATTTTTCATTTGCATACTTTTGCTGTTTGTCAGGCAGGAAATTAGAAACTGGAATACTTAAAACCAAAGGGTCTAGAAGATTCTAGAAGATAATTCAGAAGATCTCACGAAACAAAAACTCTGAAGTTCCCGGAGCCATGGTAAGAGCCTAAATGCTTGCAAACTGCACAAATATAGAATGTACCAATCTAGTGGGAGACCACTGATATTTGAACAATTCATATTAGCCTTCTGGAGAGGTTAATTTTAAAGGTAGGTCGAAGTATGGTTGACGCTAGCTATAAGCTAGGTGACCTTGCAAGAGCATCGACTTTTGTGCTTGGAATTTTAGATGCACAACAGTGTTTGTGTGAACTGTCGATTGTTATTAGCTGTTCGAAGTACGGATAGACTTGAAAGCAAAAATTATACTGGATGGTAGCATTTTGCCCCTTGAAAGTCCTTAGCACACCCTTGGTACTGATCAAGAGGTTTCAGGATCCTATACGCCAGAAGACTCGTCACTTGTTCTCTTATAGCTCTTGATGATTGATAATAGGATGCAGGGGAGATTTTGTGGAAGGTAAAACCTGGCTAAATGGGACCTTGGCATCCCAATTTACATTTTTTGTATATTTTTTGTATATTTTCCTTTCTTCTCCGAACCCTTTTTCTTTTATCTGTAATCAAAATGGAGAGAGGAACATTTTCTTCGAATGCCCATCATAATTTTGTTTTACTAGGATGCCCTTTTTCCTGGTACTTTGTGATCACTTGTTGCCAGCTTCTGAACTGCTAACGTTATCTTACTAAAGCTGCAGACGCTCTTGCATGAAACTCTGAAAATGAATATGACAATAAGCGTGCATGTTGCATCTAATCATTTCCAGTTTCTCTTCTTCAACATTTAATAGAACTATAGAAGTCATCGAGTCTTCAGTGGAGTTATTAAGCAGTTCTACATTGAACTGATTGTGATCTTGTCACATCTTTTATATTTTAATCTGAATCTCAAATCAAGAAATCAATGTTCAATATACTACAAAACGGTATTTATTAAGTGGTAGCTGTGTGTACATGTCAAATATAACCACTCAAAACCTAACACAAATATGGACTACTAGTATAGGACCCACCCAAAAAAAAATGAACTACTAGTAGTATTAATAAAGGGACAATACTTAGTAACGATAGTTATCATAACAAAGCTGATTTAACAGGTTGTTGCACTTTTAGTAACTGTTTAATTACTTGTTGGATTTATCCAACTAAATAGGATAATACGTAAAAATAAGGAAGTAAGTTTCTCATCTAAAATAGTAAGTTAATGTAATAAATTAGCAATTTTTATACCGCAAAAGGTAAATTGGAATAGATATAAAACTTAATTTTTAAATAAATAAATTACTACTTTATATATCAAACTTACTTTTTAGAGAGTAAGTTTATTTCAAGTTATAGTATGTTTTTATACACAAATAGTAATTCTTACTAATAATATGGAAAATTTTGATTAATGGTCAAAACTTACTAATTTATGGCACAAATGTACTATTTTGCATTAAAAACTTATCTCAAACTAGTATTAGGAAATTTATTTGAAATAATGATAAGATGTTTTATTAAGGGAAAAAAATCCCAATGGCTCTTCAACTCTTTCCCAGGTAAAGTTTTAGCTCTCAAACAATTAACGATAAAGTTTTGGCTCTCGATCTAATAAAACAGCATCTTTGTAGCCCTTTAGTCTAACCCAACAGTTAAAATTGACGGGAAACATCATTTCGCGAGACGCACGACCAAATATCAAGGGCATTATAGTCTCTAAGCAAAGAAAGAAAGAGTTAAAACACTTTCAACACTGATTTTCCCTCAATAATTTCCACCCCTTTTGCTCCAAAACCCTAGTGCGAAAAAATCAGACTACTCAATCCGGATGTTGCAGCAAAAGTGCTAATTGCCGACGTGGGAGGGGTTATAAAGGCAGAAATGGAGTGGCGAATATGGAGGAGAGATGACTACTTTGATCCGTACCTCGTTTACGATAATTGAAAAATCTTGTTTACTAATCCATTTGGGTTTAAGATTTGTTTATATGAATGTGTAATGAAACTTATTTGTTTATATATTTGGGTAATGGTGATGTCGGGAGGCTAGGTGGTCCAATTTGTGGTCCTACTTTGTTTTTTGTAAATTGACAATGTCAGACAAAGGGGGTTTGTTTGAAAGTGATGTATTTTAATGGCTGAAAAGGGACAACTTTATTTCTTCAGGGTTTTTTTTTTTTTGCTAAATTTGACCAATTCAGTATTTCATTTGTCAGCCTTTATGTGTTTTTCGTTATGTTGTTGACTATTTTATCCCAATTGCCATTGTAGAGCCTGATTCTGAATGGTTTACTATTCGGATGCATCATGGGGATAGAATTATGTGGGAACAGTATGTATGGTATGCTAATGGAGAGGTGGACTATGTAGATGTTTGTGATGCCGATAGAATGTCAACCATTGAACTAAATAAAATGGTGGAGAAAAAGGGACATCGTAAAGTTGCCATAATGTACTACTACCTTGAACCAAATAAGGATCTAAACAAAATGGTTTGAGAGAGTTGTGCACCGATGATGATGTTAACAAATTTTGGGCTTGGACTTATAAGTACAAGGTAATGGAAGTCTATTGTAACCATCTAACAGTTGAAGAAATTAATAGTTGCAAGTCTCCCATAGTGGTTCAACCAGCACAGTAGAAGAAGAGTGGTGTTTTGATAACAGAGTTGGATGAGGAGGGTAGTATAGTAGGGAATCTTTTTCTCATCTAGGTCCTAAGAGGAGGCTGTTCATTAGGGATTCAACTAGAGGACAAAGTGCTGGTAGAAGAACAGCCAAGAACCAGCAGCATAATGTAGATTGTAGTGATGCACGGGCTTTTAAAAACCAGAATTTCGATGTAGATGGTTTAAGTGGAGAACAAAGTGGTGATGCACAAGCATCTAATCATGAGCAGCAACATGTAGGATCCTTAAATGGAGGACAAAGTGGTGATGCACAAGCGTCTAATAATAAGCAGCAGCATGTAGGTTCCTCAATTGGAGGACAAAGTGGTGATGCACAAGCATGTAATAACCAGCAGCATGTTGGAGAGAAACAGATACACAACAAGAAGAAAGGAGCTGTCAACAACCCATTGAAGATGAAGGACATAGAAGAGATGATATTGATTCTGGATCAGAAAATGACTAAATAGATTCAGTGGTGATGTAGAATATTGTAGATGCTAGACACCAAAATTTTACCATTTTTATTTTTCCTATTTTTGTTCCTTTTAGTTAAATTTTATTTTATTTGTTTTGTTTCTGTTTCGTGAGGAAAATCATTTTTAGAAAAAATCGAAAAAAAGGAAAGAAAAGGCAAAGCAAAAAATTCAAAAATAAAAAAAATCAACAAAATTAAATCAAATCAAAAGAAGAAAAAATGGAGCCCAGGCGTGCATGCAATCTTCGTACAAAGAAGAAGCAGAAACAGTACAAGATTTTGCAGCAGCAATTTGGATCCCATTTCCACCCATTTTCTCGCATTTTTGTTTCCCTTTAATCCCTTCAGTACAATGCCAACTCATCTTAGTTGGAAATATCAGGAAAATTCCAGAATTAAGAGCCATCTATGGCTCAAAGTTTGCCAAGAAAGTGCAGCAACTCTTCACCATTAATCTTAGGTTTTGAAGGGGTGTTTTGTGCCTATAAAAGGTTCATAAACGAAAGAGAGTAGGAAGGGCGGCGGAGCAAGAAAGAAAGAGAAAGAAAAACAGCAAACGAAGAAAAAATAGAGAGAAAGAAAATTTTTCTGCAAAAAAATTATTTCCGACCAAGGCTGACTTTTCAGCCGTGTTGTGACCAAAATTTCTCTATCAATATAGCTTATTTTGAGAAGATTTCAATTTCTTCGCAAACAAGGGAGTTTGGGGAAGGAGGTTTGTTAAGAAACTTTTCATAGAAAACATTGGGAAAGGCTTCGAATTTGCTCCCCAAAACTGCAACTCCGTTTGACTGATACGCTTGCAAGTTTGCGAAAAAATCCCATAGGAATCATCGTCTGCTTGTTCCTTTTGCTTCAACCTCGTTCAAGATTCATCCTCAGGTAATCATAACTCCACTTCTTATTCCTTCTAATTCATGCATGAAGCAAAATCCATGAAATCTATGCCTTTTGGGTTATTACTGCTTGGAATGACTTTGCACCTCAATGGATAACTTTGTCTGGGGTTGGATGAATGTGGTTTACTCAATGTTTTGATGCAATAGAGGAGGATAAGATGTACAAATAAATCTGATTGGGGCTATTTTTTTCTCTTGGTCATGCATGTTTGTCCTTTTTTTTCCTTTCTCGCGTTGCCTTGTTCTTTCCTGTCTTTGCATGTTCATGTCCCATAACCTTTTTCTTTTCTACTAAAGTTAGGTAGTTTAGTTGATGTTTTTGGTAATTATGTTACAAGGTTGGGAATGGTTTCGACTTGGTTTATTCCCTAAAAAAAAAAAGGCCGTGGTTTGGAAGTTGCTTCGTAGAAGATGCATG